TGATCTGTCACGCTCTTTCTCTTGCCGTACCGTTAAAATGACATTCTGCTGCTCAGGTAGAAGTTTCCGATGAATCTCGCAGAGATTCCGATGTTCCGACAGACCGTTGTAGTCACTTGGCACGCCGGTCGACAGGAAGTCCTGCACATGTGTCAGATATTCCTCCCAGAGTTTCAGCGCGGCGATTACGTCTTGCGAGCGAATCAATCGCGTCGACAAACGATGATACTGTTGGAAGGTTTCTTGAAACACACGCTGCCATAATTGGATCACTTCGACCACTGACGGTTCTTGTACAGACATATCTAACGCGCGATCCTTGATGAATTGAAGCTGCGGTTCAGTTCGAGTTAAAGCGAGAAGATGGTTCCGCAGCACTGTCAGCTGCTCGTTAGATTCGCCTTGACCCACCGTCATTAGATTCTGAAAATTGACGGATAAACTCTTCTGTTTACGATTGTTGACTGGAGACGGGTTCTTAAAAAATAGATAAAAAAGTAAAAGAAAAAAAGATGTGAATAAATATGATGTACGCATTGAATCTGCGAATTTTCGGCAATAAATTTTGGTAACATAACGCGATTTATGCTACTCGTTAAGCATAGTTTTAACAATTTCAAAGGAATTATGATTTAATAATGCGACACATTCTCTTTGCAAGTATATAATCGCTTTTATATACCGATCAACGTTGACAATGAACGCTATGAGTTCGCATTGAAAAATGTAACTCGACGCGACATCAGTTCTCAAGTTCGAAAGTTTCGGCCAACGCTATGTACACGGGCGTTGCAGCCATTCAGCTGTTGCAGATTTCGTGACTGATGTAATTGCCACCACGGGTTAAGCCCTTCGGCCTTGACATAACAAATTGTTTCGGAACTACTGCGATTAAAATATAAACGCGCGTGCGAAGCGATGATCGAGGTTGTGCCAAGCACCAAGAACTGACGGACGCGTTAATACATCAGACTAAAGCGGCCTAACGCCGCGGGTCTAACTATCACTTTCTAAGTACCGGGAAATGTGTACATCGATCCTTGAAAAATATTTTAATTGTGAGATATTTGAGGAAGGTCTTGTTCTCCAAGGTTTTGAATTCGTTTACTCGTACATGTATAATAGAATATACTGGGATAATTAACTAACGCCCTGGATACACCCCCTCGTAAAAATTTTGTAAAATTATATTATTATATACGTATGGAATCAAAAATTAAGATCTCTTTCGTTCCTTATAATTTAGCAAATTCGCTATTCTCTTTTTCTTTATAATTCTATATAATTCTATATAATTTTTCTATTCTAATTTTTCTCTTCTTACATTAAAAGCAGAAAAATTATAATTTTCTTGAATTTTTATACACATATATCATTATAACACTTATAATTATTAAATGTCTCATGTTATAACGAATGGAAGAGATTTGATTGACATATGATTAGACAGAAGCAAGAGCAGCATGATCGAAGGAGGCACATACCTGTTGGACCGAGTCTAGAAAATTTTTCGTCTGACATAGATCACCACGGGCAAGTTCCTGATTGAGAACATGAGCATCTACCGTATCCGCGAGAGTCGACAAGGTTTCCCGAACATCCTCGAGTCGTTGACCGAGCGCTTCGACTTCGCAGTGAAGCGGTCCATCAGCGTTCAGACCTACGTCTGAAGCAATCTGTGCTACTAGACCGCGCAATTCCGCCAGTCTCTCCTTGTGTTCCGCCAGTGTCTCCTCGCAAATCTGAAATAAATTTAAAATTCAACTCAAGGTTTAACACGCCTGCGTATTAATTTATATATATAGTTATATATGACATATAATTAATAACATTAAGTAAAGAAATTAATACGGTTCTCATGTGAAACATAATTTAAATTCTTTGGCCAGACGCGAATAGTTTTTTAGGAACGTAAGTTTTAAGGAATTTATGCCGGTTGAGGAGATACAGTTATTATTAAATATATATGAAAGCAAAATGAGAAATATCGAGATGTGGGGTCTGACTAATTCAGTTGTAACAACAGTCGCTCGGTGAGCGAAAGACTCGGGTTTGATTCCCGAGTTAGCGTTTTCGTTCCGATATTTTTTTAACCTAAATTCTTTAGGTTCCCTATTTAATTACTTCGTATTGCAGTGAGAAAAATTTGTGCCCCATTGCACAACTATTCAGTTTTAAAAAAATTAATTTTTAATTGACATTTACTGCCATCCGCGTCTCTTTCTCTCTGTGATTCTTACTTTCTGACCGGGGAATTTAAAATATAATTATTATCAATTTTTGTATATTAATATATTAATTATTATAAACTTAATCGTGTAGAAATTTCTCCGGCCGGCTCAAGATGTAATCAAGCGAGATAGATTGAGAATGAATGTAGAGTTATTCTACAGAAAACATGTGTTTATTTTTTTTATCGGTATTTATAGACACATGTAGTGTGTATTCATTATTTCTCTTCCATATGGGAATAAAGTTTACTATAAAGACGCTATTCTGCATTTTCCTGAAATCTATCACTATATATGTATTTTATCTTTATTGAGAAATGATTATTTCAGAAATAATTATTAAAACAAAAAATACCTTCTTTAATGCATTTTTCATGATTCATGCAAAAACATCACTTAGTCAACGTTAAGATATACTCAAATGACTAAAAAAAATTCTTTCTTTTTATCTCAGTGATTAAATGAATTAATGGTCGCAAGATACGTCTAATATTATCAGCAATGAGACAAGATTTTCATATTCGCATAAGCGCCTTTATGAAATGCATTTATTTCGACAGATGTGACATACGTTAATTTATTCCGCAATATGCAAAGGATAGATTTTTTTAATTCCATTCATAATCATGGATATTTTGTAGTATTTCATTCTCAACATATCAAATTTGAATAACAGCTTTTCTAACAGATTTGTCAAAAGCTAATGTTGAAAATAAAATAATATTTTTGCAATTAATCTTTTATGAAAGATTCTGATAAATTTTGATGACATATAATTTTTTTTATCAAAAATTATTATTTATGAAATCTGTAAAGCAAATATTTTTAAATTTAATTTTTTGATTATTAAATGAATAATAAATTTACAATTTTTATGTTCTTATTATACAATCATTCGTATCACACAATCTTTGAATTATTCGAAATTTTCGTGTAATATTAATATTAAAATATGAAAAGTCTACGCATACTTTTAAGAAATTTTTAATTAAAATTTAATCTGATCCAGTTTGTTTTTCCCTTTTATACAATTGTTCTTATGTCATTGCGATAGGAGCGACAATGGAAATATGGACTCGATGGCAATACGCGCGCGATTTTCGCAGCACTAAAGTTATTTCTGTCACATTGTTATATTCGGCAGGAATCTCCGGTCTGTCGCGGACAATCATGACTTTTCATAGCTTTCATTATTTCCCTATCAGCCTGTCATTGCCTTACCTTTATTTCTTCCGGCGTGCACATGTCTTTAATCCAGGTTGTCACTCATGCTTTCTGCTTTTTGATGCGCGATCTTATAAAATAATGCTCCAAAACCAGATGTACACGTGCGCCGCTATACAGTTTCCCGTCTTCTGAACACATGGTCCAAATTGTCGATGCGTATTCGTAAACACGCATACACTGTCATACCCACATGCACATATACACACATTGACACATCATGGACGCGCATCTGCTCTCACGTTCTCTGGCATGCTTAACAAATACGGCGGGAGTATTTAAAAATCGTCACGATAAGGCGGTACGATAACAGAAGCGTGCGTTCGCGACGAGATAAATGAATATTTTGAAGAAGCGTATCGAGAGTGTAGCTGGATGCTGTAAACGCTGCAACGCCCTGAATCAGACTGGCGTAGTCTCCGAGGGATCGATGCGCACGTCCGTATGGCTCACCCTCTTGCCCCCTATTCTCTCAACGACCTACCCTTGGCTAGCCAATATGTCTGTGTATATGAGTGAACGTGAGCGAGGAATGATGATGATGATGAGTCAACCTCTACTCTTGTTCGTCCCTTTTTTATGTACCACGGTGGCGTTATATAGCATACAGTAGCGATATAATACTATGTGCGCGCGCGTAATAAAGAATGACATTACGCGTTTCTTCATTCGAGGGATGATAATCTGTTTATCGTGAAAAAAAATAGTTTTTTTCAGATATATTGAGATGCGCATAAGATACGAATTGTAAAAACGTTAAATATTTTTTAATATATATAACATTTAAATATATATAATATCTTGTTGACGAGAAAATAAATTGCATTGGCTCAAAGATCAACAAGATAAACAAAAAATATTTATATAAGAATCGGTTTTATCATTACTATATACTATATGCGGCTCGTACTATTTAAAATGTACGTAATATTAAAATGAATCAGCATTTAAGTATAAACGCAGAAAGTTGTTATTGTCTCAGCTGCGAAATTATTTGTCAAGTATCTTAGTTATCGGGTACACTTGATTAACAGCTATTGCTTAACTGCTCTCGCAGATATGTCCTAAGTCAGCATTCATTTCTTTCATAATTATTCATTAAATATAAAATATAAAAATGCGTGTATAATTGCACTTATCATTTGTCAAAACATCCTACATATATATATATAAGCATCAATAATTTTCGATATAAGTATTTGAAAAAGAAGGGTTTTCGAAAGTGATTAACGAAACTACGTTTTTCAATTAATCTAAATGGAATTTACTTAAACTGTTTATTAGCATTAGCAAATTTTCTTATGTATCTTTCGTTTCCGGAAGACTTTTGAAGATAAGCTAATCTCAAAATAAGTGCTCCTCATGTTTAATTTATGACAGTGGCAAAAAGTCTAGGTCAGCATCACTTACCTTGACCTGCTTGACTGCTTCCTCCGGTGGCAAGTTTACCACACTGTTCATTTGAGTGTCTACCCAGGCCTTCACCGCGGCACTAGAGTCCCTGTATTGTTGCCAGAGCCTGCACGCGTGTTGATATCGGGTGCAAAGGGCGCTTAATTCGGTTCTTGTATCTTCCCAAGCCTGTACGGCTTCATTTACTATGGCATCGACTCTGTCGCGGACTTCAACGGCGCAGCTCTCCCGCAGAGGCTCGGCAACAGTACGTAATTCGTCAATGAGAACTTCTCGGGCGCCCAAATCACCGTTTAAACCCTGTCATTTAGAAAAAAAAACAGGAAAGAGTATGTTTAATATTTGCAAATATTGACACAAGTATTAGAAATTAAATTGATGCTCTAATTTTAATGAGATTAAACAAAAAAAAAAACATAAGAACAAAATGGTAGAATTAATATAAATGTCAAAATTAAAAAATGTTTTGATATCTAAACAATTTTTGTATATATTTTGAATTTTTCATTCTTGATTATAGATTCGTATCCAATGAGAAATCCTTCAGTTTGAATAAATATAATTAATAACTATTTAGTAAAATTTTCAATGAGATCTAAATCATAATTTTTTTCGTAATAGACCCCATATGACAGATTAATAATAAATTTGTCAAAAATATTTTGCTATTAATTTTCAAATCTTATAGGACGTTACGTATAAGATTGATAGAAATAGAACTTATTTATATAATCCATTTTTTTCACACTATTCGTATATTTCGAGAAGAAAAGTAAAAATTATATTTTGTCTACTAAAAGCTTTGCGTGGCAGACAATTCAAAGAAAATATAGGCATGTGGGTTCTGCTTTAAAACTCGCTATAAATAAATTGGCGACATACCGCAACACCTCAAACCATATATGCGCACGGGATGTCTCGACGCTTACATGAATTCGGTCAGAACGTGGTCGAAATAATTCTATGTCGCGTATATTTGAGTTCGTTCACCTCTCCACGAATTTTCCAAAACAGATCATACGTGGAAACTGTGTCTTGCGTCAAATAGAAATTTTTATCAAATATAACAAATCTATGACGCCAAAAAATATTTTTCGTAAATTTTTTAAAATAATTCATTCGTAAATAAATAAATTATGCTAGCCATTTATGATTCATATTTTATTGCGCCTTGTTTGCTCCTGTACATTATATGTAAAACTAAATTTTTACAACTAATATTAATTGATAATTTATGTTACTTTTCTGACTTTCTGCAATTCTGGCAAGACACGGAGATAAACCGGTAGCCAATATTAGAAAAGAAAATCATATGTTCGGGTAGCGATAACACGAAACGTGGGCTTTTCCATGTGCTATAGTTTGCATACCCACCGTATCATCGTTATACCATTCATGATTTTAGTCGTTTATCTTTTTTGTAATTATTTTTAAAATAGATTAGAGAAAGCGCTAGAACTGATACACGCGTCATATCTATTGGATTAAACAAAATAAAATTTTCAAATGTATTTATCTATGAAGATGCGTACATTACTGTCAATTGTGCGTATATTACAACAGTCACGAAGATCATTTTATTACTGGAGGATATTACAAAAAAATTACATCTTATGCATTTACATCATTAATCAATTAAAGTGATTCTATCTCAAAAAGTCAAGAAACTTTACTTTATGTTTCACATTGCAATTAAATGACGTTACAGTTAATTATATACAATTATAATGCATCATTGCAACACAATCTTTGCATCATATATACATATTGTTTTAATATTAATTTATTTTCCGAAGAAAGAAAAAAATTGAATGAAGCTTTTATATAGAATTAGCATATAATTAATTCCGTTTAATATGATGTCTTCTTTATCGTGTTGATTATATCTATCTGTGTTGATCGTTTATAATGTTAATTGATCATATAAGGGGAGAAATAGGTAATGTACACAGATTTCGCTCAACTTTAAATATGTTTTAGTATTAACCCGCCATTAATTCATGGACAAGTGGCACGACTCAATATTCAAGCATTCGCGAAAAATTTGCATCGAAAGTTTCTCGTGCGTCTTCTGTATAAACCCTGTCATTTAGAAAAAAAAAACAGGAAAGAGTATGTTTAATATTTGCAAATATTGACACAAGTATTAGAAATTAAATTGATGCTCTAATTTTAATGAGATTAAACAAAAAAAAAACATAAGAACAAAATGGTAGAATTAATATAAATGTCAAAATTAAAAAATGTTTTGATATCTAAACAATTTTTGTATATATTTTGAATTTTTCATTCTTGATTATAGATTCGTATCCAATGAGAAATCCTTCAGTTTGAATAAATATAATTAATAACTATTTAGTAAAATTTTCAATGAGATCTAAATCATAATTTTTTCGTAATAGACCCCATATGACAGATTAATAATAAATTTGTCAAAAATATTTTGCTATTAATTTTCAAATCTTATAGGACGTTACGTATAAGATTGATAGAAATAGAACTTATTTATATAATCCATTTTTTTCACACTATTCGTATATTTCGAGAAGAAAAGTAAAAATTATATTTTGTCTACTAAAAGCTTTGCGTGGCAGACAATTCAAAGAAAATATAGGCATGTGGGTTCTGCTTTAAAACTCGCTATAAATAAATTGGCGACATACCGCAACACCTCAAACCATATATGCGCACGGGATGTCTCGACGCTTACATGAATTCGGTCAGAACGTGGTCGAAATAATTCTATGTCGCGTATATTTGAGTTCGTTCACCTCTCCACGAATTTTCCAAAACAGATCATACGTGGAAACTGTGTCTTGCGTCAAATAGAAATTTTTATCAAATATAACAAATCTATGACGCCAAAAAATATTTTTCGTAAATTTTTTAAAATAATTCATTCGTAAATAAATAAATTATGCTAGCCATTTATGATTCATATTTTATTGCGCCTTGTTTGCTCCTGTACATTATATGTAAAACTAAATTTTTACAACTAATATTAATTGATAATTTATGTTACTTTTCTGACTTTCTGCAATTCTGGCAAGACACGGAGATAAACCGGTAGCCAATATTAGAAAAGAAAATCATATGTTCGGGTAGCGATAACACGAAACGTGGGCTTTTCCATGTGCTATAGTTTGCATACCCACCGTATCATCGTTATACCATTCATGATTTTAGTCGTTTATCTTTTTTGTAATTATTTTAAAAATAGATTAGAGAAAGCGCTAGAACTGATACACGCGTCATATCTATTGGATTAAACAAAATAAAATTTTCAAATGTATTTATCTATGAAGATGCGTACATTACTGTCAATTGTGCGTATATTACAACAGTCACGAAGATCATTTTATTACTGGAGGATATTACAAAAAAATTACATCTTATGCATTTACATCATTAATCAATTAAAGTGATTCTATCTCAAAAAGTCAAGAAACTTTACTTTATGTTTCACATTGCAATTAAATGACGTTACAGTTAATTATATACAATTATAATGCATCATTGCAACACAATCTTTGCATCATATATACATATTGTTTTAATATTAATTTATTTTCCGAAGAAAGAAAAAAATTGAATGAAGCTTTTATATAGAATTAGCATATAATTAATTCCGTTTAATATGATGTCTTCTTTATCGTGTTGATTATATCTATCTGTGTTGATCGTTTATAATGTTAATTGATCATATAAGGGGAGAAATAGGTAATGTACACAGATTTCGCTCAACTTTAAATATGTTTTAGTTTTATTAATTAACCCGCCATTAATTCATGGACAAGTGGCACGACTCAATATTCAAGCATTCGCGAAAAATTTGCATCGAAAGTTTCTCGTGCGTCTTCTGTACCAAATTCGCGAATGAGGTTGGCAGATAGCGAGAGTAGCGCAGCGGATAAGGCGATGGATTAGAATACTGTACGTTTGAGTCCTGCTTTTTCCAATTTTTTTTTCACGTAAATTTTTACAAAATGTTCATTTAGGTGCACGCATGTGGAGCAAAAAAATTATTATCTTATGGTTATTAAATTTAATGCTAATAATTTAAATTTAATATTTTACACTCACATACTTTAACGCCTGCAACCATACAAATAATATCGATTCGCAATTCAATTAAAAACTCTAAAATACACACAATTTCCTTAACAATTTTTCCAGAATAATTTCTGCACTAGTTACTATACGACACGTTATAAACTGACTCGGCTGTTCAACTGACAATGAAATGAATCAAATGATCAAATTTAAAGCAAGGGCTACCAGTTCCTACCCTAAATCTCCTAGATAGAAAATAACGGTTTTTGCAGGTAACGGGTACAACTGCATTATAATCGAGTCCCCGGCAACAGAAAATCTGTCATGTAAGAAAACATTGACTGGTCATATAATATAATGTAAAAATAAAATTTCCTTTACAGAATTTTTAAATTTAAAAATAACTCTGGAGTTTTTAATTAGTGGGGGGTTAGTCCTGAAACATATTTAAAGTTGAGCAAAATCCGTGTGTACACTACCTGGTCCTCCCCTCGATAGACATATTGTGATAAACATGTAATTTTACGTGATCACGAGAAATCATGATAATAATTATATATTTAATGCAATTGTCTTTTTTTCAGGTCGACGAAATAGAGATTCACAAGTTATGCATGCACATACATATTCTTTGTTTTATGTACATTATTTTGTTACAGGCAACCTGTTGTTTGTAACGACTGCACGTCTATAATGTATGCTGATTTAATACTTATTATACATTGATGTGGATAAAGGTGTATAGGTTTGCTTTATATGTTTCATGCCGCGATGCATGAATAACGCAACGATATTGCGTACAAAAAAAGAACGGATGCGATGATCGAATGAAAATAGATTCTTACGAAATTATTTTCTCGCATGCATTCATATGTGGAGAATAATCGACTATTCTCGGAACGAAATATTAACAAAAATCATGAACGTGATTTGCCAAAAAATCAATAAAAGTAGTCGACAAGGATTTTACCGAGTTTTTTCAATGATAAGAACGATAAGATTGTCTTGCAAACAACTGGGCCCATTCATGCAAACCTCGAAATAAGCATATATATCGTAAGAATGATATATACAATGATAATTTATGAAGAAGAAAAACACACATGTGTAATAAATAATTCTTCTCTTATGCAAATTTTTATAGAGATTATTAGCCACGCACATTTTAAAAAACAGCAGCATTTATATCAGTCTCGCACAAATGTATATATGTACATACATCCGGTCTTTGCTTTTGCAGATAGTGCATAAATGCGTTTATTTTGCGGCGATGAAGCGTTTAAATAAAAATCACCATTTGGTCTATCAAGCACGGGAAGGAAATTGATATACGCTACGGTATCTTTGATTATATAAAAATGCAGTCAGTTTCAATTATCACATTACATTTTCACATTATATCTGTTGTTGATATTGTTGAAAACACCTTGAGTCATCAAAAACGTTACATTGAATCGTCACTATAAAACGGCGCGTTTTTTTAACTCCAACAATTCTGGCATCATATCAATTTTCTGCAGAAATGCAACTCCGGAAATCCTGTTCCGACTATTCTTCGTGCAGTCTGACCGTTCTAGCACGTAACGCGGAACGGAAACGTTCTGTGTCATTCAGGAAAACACTCGCTATCTACGACATTACCTTGAAGCTATTTATTGTACTTCTTCTTCGTCATAAAGTTTTAACTTAGATGGAAAATTTCGCGAGTTTGTGAAGAACTGCGAGGTCTCATTCGAGCGACTTGCAAATGATACGCGTTTATCTGCCGCTACGACCGAGCGATAATACAGGTCAAAATACCCAACAACACGCTTTGAAATATATTTATACGGGTCCGCAGAGATATTCTCGGCTGCGACGTAAACGTGACCATGGATCTAGCGGTACTGATAGCCGCCGCGGCGATAACGCGGCTCTCAAGCTTGAACGAGTGAGAGCGAGAAGGCGACGCCTGCGCGTAACGCGTATACTCTTGTATTTGTAGATTTGTTAATTAACGTTTGATAAATCATGAAATTATAACGAGAAGAATTTAATTGACTATCTATAAGCCTCAAGAAAAATTATTCGAAAATTTAGAAATTGGTCCTAATTCGTGTTGTTTAATTTGATGCTTTTGATTAAATAGCGTTCATTCGTTTGCAGCAAATGAAAAATATATTACATTGATATTTTATAAAAAAATTATAAGATGCTAATGATTTTATTGATCGATTTCTCAATGTGGTAAGCAAATCACATCGCTTTACTGTTACATTATAGAATGTAGAAAAATGTATGACTTACCTCGAGTCGCTCGGTAGCCTTTAGTAATCTCTCGTAATCGACAGAGCCTTGGACGGTTAATAGCTCCATCATATAATCCGCTTCCTGAACAGATTGTTGCACTATTTCCAACTGCTTTTCGAATCGTCGCCACAACTCCAATCTGTTCGTCAGTAATGAAAGCAGACGCGTGCATCTCGATTCGAGTTCGGTGTGTACATCCTGTATGTTGGACAAGTCTCTTTCTATGCCTACCGGCGATACTGTTACTCTCATCGAAGTCGGCAAATGATGCAGCATTTGTCTTAACGCCATTAGATCTTGCCAGAGAATTACCAACTCATCTGCGACTGATTGACATTGATTCACAGCCGCGGCCACCAAGTCACTTTCTTGTTTTTCGCTGCTCTCGCATTGATCCAGTATTGTCGACAATCTTTTGTAGGCCTTCCTAAAGCGACTTAATCCACGTTGAAGAAGTTGAATTTTTTCTCTGAGTAGTTGCGCCGAATCTAGCTCTTCGTTTATCTGTCCCTCTATACAACAAGCCGATGATAACAAGAATCCGATTCTTTCGCTTTCTGCTGCTGGTAAAAGACCCAAGCGACCTATTTCATCTTGAATTAAAGAGATTCTGTCGAATAGAACAGTGAGTCTCTCGATATACAAGTCGAGTTCTTCTTTCGTCTTTAATACTCCATAAAAACTATTGATAGTCGTTCGTAATTCGTTCAGTTCCTTTTCGAATAGCTTCAGTTTCTCGTTCGATGAGATCTCCTCCGAGAAAATGCTGCGGGTGACGTCCATCTGGATTTTGTTGATTTTATTGCTGATCTCGTTCCAACGATCTTGCAATTCGTAATGAAATTGTCGCTGTAATATTTCGTCTGATAAAGGTATAATTCCCAAAGCTTGCTCAAAGCAATTGTCTGCTTCATTACGCATGTTGTTGTGAACTTCATATTGTGCCTTCAATTCCTGCAAGCGTAATAACGTTGACACAACATTTTTCAAATATAATTTTAATTTGGAGACCGAATTTGATTTCTAGCACGAAAGTATAAAGTTTTCTTTAAAAAACGAGGTTGATCTTTATATCTTCTCTACATTTAAATTTATAGAAAAAATTATTAATATCAGATTATCTCTTTTTTAAAATTCAATTTTGTCTAAAGCATTTTTTTGATGTCACCGATTTAAAGATATTCACGCGTGCATTATTTAAAAAGAGATATCCTACGTATATATTTGTATGTATATTATATGTATAAATATAGAGATTGTTTTGTATTAAAATTCTCAGATAAAAATGCTTGATAAAAATGATAATAACGATTACGTAAGATTTTCGTTTTCCCATTTTAATCGTGCTAAAAATACGCCTCTCGAACATGTGCCTCCGATGGCATGAGGCCAAATGCGTTGGAAAAACGTGACCCAAATGCACGTGCGGATACAGCCCACCAATAGATATTTTTGCTGGATTATCGTATTATAAATACATTTTACAAGATTCCAGAAAAAGATCGAAAGTGCTTACCCAGAACTGACGCATGGAACTTCCTGAGGGATCGCGTAACATGGCAAGCTCCTTCTCAGCCATTGTCATCCATTGTTCCACACGGCTCATCAATGTTTCTTGATTGTTCCAAATCTCTCTGAAGGCCAGTAGCCTTCTCAAGGAGGACTCAATGTTGTCTTGCAGTTTTACGATCACGTCTAAAATTTCACCGTAATGATCTTCGGGATCCTCGATATTGATGAGATCACGGAGACTACATGCCACGTCGAATAATTGAATTAAACGTGCACGATGGGTTGCTACGTCTGATGATAGAGACTGAAACGTAACAAATTAACAAATCGTTAAAGTTAAATGTGATAGTTTATGTGATAATTAGACTGTATAGATTTTGTCAGTATCGCGAGAGAATAATGCCTTCTGTAATTAGAATATGGCTGGCTAAGCGCCGTGGTAAGAGAAGAATAATATCTATTTTGAATGACATAGAAAGTAGCCCTAAACATATATTTTTTATCCACATCTCGCAGGTTTAAATAAAGAAATAATAGGGAAAAATATAAATTATTTAAATTAAGTTAATTTAAAAAATATTTTATTATGTGTGTATTTTATAATAAAATTATATGTTATAAAATAAAACTAAATTTAAGAGATGTCTCCACATATTAATAGATTTGTCAGCATATATTTTAATTTTTTAACAATAAATTAAATAATATCAAGTTATTATAAAATGCAGAATAAAGGGATATATCTCTATTTATAATTATACTTATTTTAAGAATAGTTAAAAAATATATATGTGTGTGCTTGTGCGGAGATAATTGTATCATGTGTAGACATTATAAATATAATGGAATTAGTATAAAATTACTAACCTGATATAAAGAGATGTATTGATCGTAATCGGTCGAGGTCACTGTTTGAAGATCAGGAACACGTTGATGTGCAACTTGGAGCCATCCTCTCTCTTCTTTCGCACTTTGCTCCAGTAGCATCCATCGTGACGCGGCCAACGCCATTTGTTGCGCTCTTGAAGCCGCTTGATCGAGCAACGCTGTCGCTTTATCATGAAGTTTTTTATGCAGATCTGAATGTTTGGCTCTGGTTTCAGGGTCTAGATTGCCTTCCAACGATTCGAGAATCGCGCGACAGTGATTTAAATTGACAAAGAACTTTCTGTGTTTCTGCATCTCCTCTTGAAGATATTCCAGGCTCATCACAGATATCGGACTGTCTAATAGATTTTCAGCGATGTCGGTAATTTGCTCAAATTCCTGGAGCGTTTGCTCGTATTCCTCAGCTAAGACGAGCAATTGGAGAAGACGCTCTCGTTCGACGTCTACATTATGACCAATGATCTTCGTCATTTCATGTGCGGCGTATGTTTCGTCGGGTATAATCTTGCCTGGGTAATCGCGCAATAATCCGCAAGTAATATTGATAAGCTTACTCGTCTTCCACATATGACAGCGATTTGTGTTCTCCAATTTATCGAGTTCCTGTAATTTCCAACGTGTGGAATTTTCACTTTCGATTATATCATCAAGCTGTTTACGTTGTTCGTCGACTAGCCTGTAACAAAATTGAAATATGTTAATATAGAAAAGACAAGAAATTGTTAAACAATATTAAAATTATTAAAATTATTTGAATTTTCTCTCTTTTTCTCTTTTTTACTATTTCGGATTTTATTTCTTTTAGCTTAAAGAAATATGCAACAAAAATGTTACATTTAATAAAATTTTATAGTGCTATTTATTAATATTTTTGCGTGATGTCTTACCTATATATATTGTTCACGCCATTTAAAAATTCGTCCCATTTTGCAAGTTGTCTGCTAGCATGTTTTTCTTCATCAGTTGTAATATGCTCGATGATTTTCATCTGATGCTCAACAGCGTCTATACATTTTCGTAATCTTTCCCGTTCTTGTTCCGGATAGTTTGGCTCTAATTGCTTCCAAATGTTATCAAACTCGCAAATATTTTCCTTGACATAATCCATCTCGTCTTTCAATTCGATAAACGTTTTAGCATCCTCGTGAGAAGGCCCAGTCGGACATTCTCTGGTTAGAAAAACTCGATACTCGATAGTCTCCAGCCAAGTTGAGATTGTTTCGACGATAGTAATAAAAGTTTCTTCAACCATTTCCACATCGTCCTCTTGAATAGCATTTTTTAGTTGTGCCAATTCTTTGCGAATATCTGACGAACGTTCTTCCACGAGTTTCTCCGTGGTGACTTCTTCGAGATGTGCTATGTGCAAAATGTTACCTAAGTAACTCGACTCGTTGGTATTCTGTAGATTTTTCACTCGATCAGTTATTATTTTCGCAGCTTGCATCGCTTGTGGCGTTCTCTGATATTGCGGTTTGATGTCATATTCCAAAGATCTTTCTAGAAGAGAAGCTGTAGACAAAGTGTTAAGAGATGGTACTTTGGTAACGGATTCTTGCCACAAATTCATCTCTTTTCTTTCGTATAGTTCGGAGCTAGGCAAGGCTGGTGCAAGTTTTTTATGCGATTCGGATGTCACTTCGGCATATGTCGGAGTCTCTGCTTGGAACGATTCAGTGATTTCTTTACTGAGAATAGATTGCTCGATTTCTATAGGTGACAGTGGCTCTTCAGTGGTATCCATCGGTTCAGGAGACGACTGCATAGATATAATTGCGGACGATTTTTCTTGGTCCGATGACATCAGTAATGGTTCTATCATCGGTCTGTCAGGTAAAAATGGCATTTGTACTGCTACTATTTCAGATATAGCTGTTGTTTCTGAAATGTGGCGATCTGAATCAATCATAAATTGATCCGATGTTTTCAAGGTAGTTGAGATATCTGGTATGCCTTGAATGTCTTCTTCATGTCGATTCGTGCTTTCTGTTATACTTCCCGATGCAATATCCTCCGATTTAATCTGATCTAATTCAATCTGAGGTATCATTTGAGAAGAATATTCATATACTGCGTCATTCACAACGTCATTATTTTCCACTAAAGATGTTCGCCTGCTGACATTTTTCTTGGCTACATCGCAGTAAGACAATTTCAAGGTAGTATCTTGGGACTTTGTTGGCTGTCCAAATATAGATTCGAATTCTGACTTATCCTTGTTAGATAGATTGATTTCCATGGTTTTGTTGTGCTTCCTCTTCCTTCTTTGCCGTTTAATCGCCTTGCTATTGTGTTCTGCAACATCCGCGTCATTATTAAGATCCTCAGTAGTTGTTGTATCTTGCGAATTATCAGGTGTTTCTTTGCTATCAGATGTAGCAGTATCGAGCGTGTCACTGGCAGACAAGTCTATGCTCGCATGAACATGAATTTCAAATGATGTATCCGGAGTAGTGTTTCTTTCCGATATCGAAGATGATACCGTAGATTCTTCTGTTTTTACGCTATCTGATGATTTTAAATTATCTTTTACCGTAGGTATTTCAGAAAATTGACGGTTTATTTCTTTCTCGACAGATGCTTTTCTCTGCTCGATATTTTCTGGAATCGTTGTGAAAATCTCTGATATTGGTTTGTCACTCGCAACTTCCATTTCTCTTACCTCTTCTATTTTTCGTACTTGTACATCAGGTGCTGCTGGAGTTTCTATTATTTCTGTAAATATTATTTCCTCTTTCTTCGTCGTTTCTTTTAAGACGTCCGCTTCTAAAACGGGCGTTCTTTGTGCATCTTCTTTTTCAGCTGCTTCTATTTTAGAATCTTCCGTACATGTTTCAACTGTATGAGTTGAAATTAATGTTGTTTGTTGAGATATCGACGTCATCTCGGCCGGCTGGCTCTCTTTCTCTAATGATGTTTGTGCGCTAATTTCACACGTATCAGGAATATTTTGTATACTTTTCTCGATTTGTGGTATCAGATCTTCTGTTTCTATTTGCATCGAACTATCAAAGGTCTGAATTTTCTCTGGAGAACTAGTCTGTGATTCTTCCTCGGTAGTCTCCTTCATTTCCTCGATGCTGGTTTGGATAGATTCTTCGTATACTTGTATAGGTTCTGGACTGATAACAGTTGGACTGGTTTGCATTGTAGCCTCTTTAATTGATTTTATTTGCATTTCGGTTTCTTGCAGCTCCGTCTTTCGAGGGCTCTCTTCAGGCGTTGTTTGTGTCTCAATTGTTTCAGTAGGCGTTTCAGGTATTGCGATTGTTTGAGTATCTGTATGCAAAACATTTGGTTGCTCCGGACTAGGCAAGACATTTGTTTGTACATCTTTTTCCAAACATTCTGGTCCTTTTGGAGATAATGTTTGAATACCACTTTCCTGCAGAATAACTTTCTCTGCTATTGGTGGTGGAGTAGTTTGTTGCTCAACTTCCATCGCGGTATTTATTATTGTCTGAGTTTCATTTGTCATCATTAAAGCTACTTCAACAGGCGAAGTCTGCATTTCCGTGGAAAGAACATCAACTTCAGTTGTTTGGGCTTGAGAATCTTCCATTTCCGTTTTAATGAAAGGAATATCCTCGATTGGACTAGTTTGAATAGCAAACTCCTCCATTGGCGTGGCTTCAGGTGTCATAGTCTGTATACCTAGATCTTCCACTTCCGGGATTTCTTCCACGATATTTTCCGTAATAAAATCAAGTCCTGGTTCTAAAATTGTTTGTGTCTCAATATGAATCTCTTCAGTTTTATCTGTTTGACTCTCTTCTTCTAAAGTTAAAGGTAACGGTTCAGGAGATGTTTGCATAAATGTCGAGCTCTCCTCGACTATCTTTGGAGTAAATGAAGTTGAAATATCGCATGTTTCTATAATTGTTTGAGTGTTTGCGTCATCTAATACAGCTTTGCATTCAATAATATTCTCGTTTTGTAGTGTCACTTCGGCTTTAGTTTCTTTCGCCTGACCCTCTTGCTGCATTATATCTTCTAAACTATTTTTTCCCATTACTTTATTATCTTCTTTTATTGCATCGTTTTCTTTTATGTCATCTTCTACTTTTTCAGATTTAGAAATCTTTAAATAAACGCTATCATCTGTAAATATCGCATCATCGCTGCTAGTTTTGGGCACTTCAGTTAGATCCTCATCTTGAATTAATCGAATCTTTTGCTTTTTCTTCTTTTTTCTCTTTCTTTTTGCGCCAATCTCATCTTCCGGTGTAATCGACAATACATCAACATCATCCGGTTGATATCCATTTTCTTCGGCCACAATACCGTCATCTAAACTTAAAGACGATTCAATGTTAGATTTGATGATCTCCGTAACATCCGGTTGCGGCTGTTCACTAGCATGTTTAGATGAATCAGATGATGGGACATTAATCTCCATAGATTCAGCAATCGATGTAGCAATGGAAGTACTAGATTCTGCTTCTACAGGTTTTTCTGAAGACTCTGTCTTATCCTTGTGGCGTTTCTTTTTTCTACTTTTATGACTTGTCGTATCTGATTTACTTTGCTCCGAAGATTCGATGTGAACATTGACTACTTTGTTTGCCGTCTCTTGTAAGGTTTCTGTTTCTTTTTCAGCTGTAAGAAAAGCGCTGGTTTGTACGATCTTATCGTGTATTACTCCTGTCGTTTTTTTATCCGTCGGAAGACTAATGTCTACATCCTCCTTAACGATGCTATACGGGGCAATTTCGGATCGTTCTGCCTGAGTTTTGATAGAGACCAATGGTTCCATTTCCTCATCTTCTTTACTCACAGACAAGGCTATCTCAACCTTATGGAACACCGGTTTGTACTCGGGCTTGAGTGCTTCATCCCTTAAATTATCTTCTTCCTCTTCTATAAATAATTCTGACATTTCTCGTTCTTTAAGTGATGTTTCAATATCTTTTAATCTTGAAGCAGTTCTTTCTTCGTTAGATTTAATAATTTCACACGGTAGAATGATCGATTCATTTTGTGACTCTGATTGTTGAAGCGATGTTAAGGTTACATCTTCTTCTTTACTCTTGGATGGTTCAAACGATCCGTCTTTCTTTGATATTCCTTCCTTTTCGTCTTCTTCCTCTAACAGAATGACATTCGATATATCGACATTTGTACCAGCTTCTACAGTGCTGCTAACATCATGGTGCATTTCTACTTCTACCGTGCCGTTTTCTAGCTCGATATTGAGTGTTTCGATTTTTATTGGTGCATCGTCAGACTTACAAATAGTCTTGGTGACCACCGATTCGTCATCTGTTACTGTCGGCTCTAATGGCGATTTTAAAGATTCCGGTTGTACTGCCTCTGTAACATAGACATCTTCGACAGGAGTCTGCAAAACGGCAGATCGTTCAGCATCGATGAATGCTTCATTATCAACAGGAAGTGTATTTATGCCATTTACCTCAGTGGGGAAATGTTCGTATTCGTGTTCTTTCATCGTTTGTGTTTCCATTTCTTTTGGCACTATATTTTCATCACGTTGTAAAACAGAAACGCTTTCATCATCTGGAACATTAATTAAATTTTCTAATTGTTCTAATTGTGATACATGTTCTCCCAAAGAAGAGAGCGTTTCTTGCATCGCAGTTTGCTCGGAATCTGCTAACTTTATCTTTGAATCTGTCATCAAGAATTCTTTTGACAACATGCTTTCATCTACAATATTCGATGTGTCAATTTCTACGACGTCATCGTTTTTTTCCGCGGTCATCATCGGTTTCTCTGTAATTTTTTCTTTTATTTGATCTCGACGCTCACTCATTATATCCTTAGCAAATGGCCCAAAAAATGGCCCCTGCATCAAATTATCGGGAGTATGCTCTATTGGTATCTTTGATCTCATCGCTTCCTGCTGTTGTATTTCGATTGCTTTTTCCGCAGGAACTATAATTTTTTGATCTTCATTTTTAACCACATTAATACTGATGTGCGGTATATCTTGCTCGTTTATTTCTATCTCTTCAGGCTCTTCGATCACTTCTTCGGTGGTGGTTTCCTTGCCATTTATAATAGTAACTTTCCGAATGATTTTGCGCGTCTTTTTGATTACTCGCTTAGTGACTTGCTGCACCACAGCATGAACGCTCGAAGTCCTTGTTTGATATTCACCACCCTCCATCAGTATTTCTTCTTCAACTGGTTGGCAACTAATATCTCCTATCTGACCCTGCGTCACCATGTGCGTGTACCGAGGTTCAGTTTCATACTCCTCCACATTGATACCTTCGCCAGCGCCTGTGGTGACTTTACCGCCGTAAATCTGTCTCGTTATAGTCTCTATGGTACCATCTGGTCTCGTTTTAGTCACGGTGATTTGCTGATCTCTCATCGCAGCCTCTGAGAAAGCTTGCATCATCAGTGGCGTGTCTCCAAGTGTCGTCGACAGCGTGGACATATGCTGCTGTGTAGTTTGTTTACTGACTGTAGTACTTCGTCGTAATTTTCTTACTATGATTCTTTTGGTGCCGTCGGCATCGACAACTACCTCGGTAGTAACGTCGTCCGGTTCGACTAAAATCGTCTCGAAAGATTGTGGCGCAACATGGACAATGTTTAGTTCGCTTGTCGCGCTGTCGGTTTTTTTCGCATCTTGATATTTCATGTCGACAACGATGTCTTCACTAGACAAAGCGCTAGATTGCTCCTGTATTAGCTCTTGACTAGAATTAGGTGGCAAATATTTGGTTGCTATCTCAATTACGTCATGATCGCCTTTCGTGGTTTTTAGGATTTTTATAGCCTCCTGCGTTTGAGCAGCCTCGTTCGGTAGTAAAACTTGCGTCGTCTGCGTCGTGAGAGAATGACATGTAGGCGACGATGGAATTTGCGTTGTAGATGTTTGTTTTGTGAATTGGGCTTTTTTTTCCACAACGTCGTCGATTAATAAACTTTGACCAGTTTGTAAGGAAACATCAGCCAAAGAGGGCGGACCGCCTTCCAAGGAAGAATTAATTGAGGGTGCTTCATCCAGAGTAGCATTGTCTCTCTCTGTCGATTCATCATCAGCTTGAGCTTGCTCATCACAGATTTCCTACGAGGATAATAATTGCCTTGAAAAAATGTGGTGCTATATTTACAGCATTATATCTTGAATAATTGTTGCATGTATGTGTGCGCGCGTGTGCGTGCATACTTGTACTTTTATATTTTGAGTTTAACAAATGCTTCACTTTATTGTCACTGATTATTTTATTAATGAAAAATAAACAGAATATTAGTTTTGTATATATATATGCAATGAAAAATTTCCTTTGTTAAACGAATCAGAATAGAAACTCACAAACTTGATATCACATATTTATTTAAAGTCTATAAATTTTATTTATTTAATTGGTTAGATTCAACAAAATAATCCTTCTTACAACAATATAACATGTTTTTCTTTGGTAATACAATAAATTTTTTTATGTTTATTTAATAAATCGTTTTTAAAGAACCAATTTGTGCATATATATATTTAATAGTAATATATAGTGTATATGAATAAATATATGTACAATAGTCAAAGACTTGGAATAGCATTAATCAATTTTGTTGCATTATTTTTTACGGAATTGTATAATTGTATATTTCCGAGATAAATCACACGCGCGTTTGTCGAATCTTAACGGTCAAAACATTGTATATATTTTACATAGAGATTATTATATTTATGATAATATTATCGTTAATTATTCACATCGCTGAGTATGATACATAACTATAATGATTGACAATGGAAAGTAAAGAGGAAGGGGGTTATTAATAAGAATTCTTTAATTTACATGAAATATTACAGCAATATATTAACATTCCTTTTACTAATTACATGCAATGCCTATACTACATCCATCACCTTAAGATGAACAGAAAAATACATAACAATCATGATACAAATAATCTACAATAAATTAACAATAAGAAATAATGTACGATGCGTGATATCTATAATGAAATGTGCGTGATGAGAAGCGCATGTGTCTGTTTGCAGCGCGACAATGATAAAGAAAAAAAAAAAAAGAAAATATATACTCAGAATAATGCTTTCTATATAAATGAATTATTTATGTGTCCGTAAGCCGTGCAAAATTAATTGTTTTATTAAGCTCGATGACTAGAATGCCTGTACCATATGTCGAACCAATGCGTTGTTTATTACCGCTTATTACAAAGAATTTAGCGCGCATCGTTTATAATGATTAAACATTACACAATGTTTCTTATAACTATCCAAATTTAAAGCAAATATTTCAGACTCTTACTCAAGAGGCAGAATATTCTCAATGCAGATTTATGATGTTCACATCCAAAAATTCTTTTTATTTTACGTGCAGCTATTAATTAATGGCTTATAATTTTTTCTCTGACATTTACAGTTTTTGATTTGCCATTACGAAGCCACCAACTTTGTAATAACCGCAATTTGCAAGCCTTTTATATTTTGTTCCATATGTCGCGAAGCTTTCGCAATTTTCGAAGCCAGAATTTATTTTCCCGAATCCTTTGTAATATTATTTTAAGCGACCGAGGCACCAAAAAGAGTGATGTTTGCGAAAGCCCCCAAACTTTGGAAAACGTTGAATACCTGCTGCTTTTGTGAGAGCTGATTAATTGTGTTTACGAGGGCTTTCTTCAGCTCTATCGCCAACGCGCTCACTTCTGGTAATGACTCGAGTTCTGAGACTCGATGTGCGCGACTCCTTAATTCTTCCTGTAAAATCTGCCGATTGTGACAGACGAGATATCGGTATTATTTCGCGTACGATGAAATAACGTATCATATAATCATTTGAAGAAATTAAATCTTGATATTAAAAATTGAGATGTTTTAGATCTAATATATAATTACTAATCATTAACGTAAAAAGTAAGAATGTTAAATATACGTTTGACTAAAACTATTATAATTAATTATATCGATGAATAACATGATCCAACAGACCTTGTTAGTATTAAATGAATGTTGTTCGTCTATTTTCGATATGATGTTTTTTAGCCAAGTGTCTGTTTCTTCGAGGAATAATTTGTAGGTATGAATCTCTTGGCTGCGTCTTTCTCGGTCCTCTCGCGCCTGTTCGAGAGCTGCCCGTCCTTGCTCCGCTTGATCGAGAAGGGAGGTAATACGCGTGTGAATTTCCGTCAAAGCTGCTAAAAGTCTTTGAGACTCAATATCGGCAGGAATCTCGCGTAATCGCCTTTGAAGTTGTGCAACCTCTTCGTCGTAGGTGTGAAGCTCCGTCAACATGGTCTAAAGTAGACAGAAAGAATTTCTTTCGATTTTACAAACAGAATATTCGTTTTCTTATGTATTTTTTTGTACAATAAATATAATTTGCACGAATAACAATATAAATTTAACAAAAATCTTTTTCATATTTTTCTCTTCTTTCAATTTATCCAAAATCAATCATTTTTACCGTAAGAGATGATAGCATAGATTCTATGCTGTCTACAGGCAAGTGACCCATTGTTTCTTCGAAAGTCGAAAGTCTTATTTGCAGAGAAGCAAGGCCTTCCTCAACAGTATCCTAAAACATAAATGCTTATTAATAATTTCATCGCCGATTATGAAATTTATTACTATTTCAATTATGCTGTGCACACGACGGAGTCCAATCAATATTTTCACACTGCGCATTAATTTCATTAGCACCAAAAACTTTAAGAACCTGTAAAAGAAGGTGTTGTAATGGCATAAGGTTATAAAATGGCACAATATAAAACACATTTAATAATAAAGGCATATCAATAAGATGAGAACAACTCCTTCAACGTTTATTATAATAAAAATCCGCATAAACATTTTTATTACTACGTATGGAACGATAAAAATCTTCATGCAAGATGTCAGTGAATATTTTGCTAAGCAATCCGAATGCAAAGACCTATCACGTAAAGTTGCCAGCGACCAAAAGTCAAAAGAATTAAAAACTGTGTATTAATTTTTATTCCCTATTAATTGCTAATAATTCTTTATCATATAGATTACTATTTAGTTATATATTATATCTTGAACTTTTAATATTACAAGCTATAACAACAATATAATGATAAAAAGGTTGGCATGTTGAAGTGTACGTAATGTGAGAAGAGACACTATTGCAAATAATATTATTTATACATATATTTATGTAAGAGCGAAATAAGCATGCAAATATAATGCAGATAACATATTATAAAAAGATGATGAAATTATTACTATTTCATGCAAACGGCAAGGATATTTTATTAATTAATTTTAATTTGGTTTCTCTATTGATAAAAAAATTAATTATGTCTTGCTATGTGGGATTAGAGGAAAGTTAAAATAACAATAAATCAATAATATAGCAATAGCAGGAAGAGAATAACAATATATACACATAAACACACACACACATGCGCGCTATATTGATGGATCACCACACACGAAAATTACACATACTGGACTCAGTATCGAACAGCAAAAAGAAAACGTAATCGTTATAGAATAAGAGACAGAAAGAGAGGGAACGAAAAATTAATGATAAGGCAACGAATATATATACATATACATGTATATATACATATGACAATAGACTTGGTTCAAACTCGACTAGAAGACCGAACACTGGCCATGACGGTGATCGCACCTGGATCCTGCGTATCCTTTTTTCAATCTCGTCTTCGGCCGTTTTTTTCTCCACTTCCTCATCCGAACTGCATCGCTGCATAGATTCTTGCCTCGTCTCTTTACCTAAATGCAGTTTGGATCGTGGACGAAGATGGGCGAGGGTCGACGATTGGATGCAAGTGCTAGGATAATCAGGACTTTGGACGTTATTCGAAGAAGAGATGGCGGGGTACTCCTTCGGATCTACTTCGGAAGCGAGAGACTTTGTATGCGACTCGGTCAGTGGATCGTTGAAGGAGGGAGACGTTAAAGGGAGATCAAGAGACGATAATGGGACATCGTTTGGCAACGATAAGTCTGAATCAACCGCTTGATTGTTAATCACGTCAAGTGACAAGCTATGATCCGGCGTTCGCTCGCTCTCATTCGATAGATAAGTGCTATAATCTCTCCAGCTACATATGCCACCGGGCAAGTCGGCTATCATACGCTCTGTCTGGGGTGCCCCGAAAAAGAAACGCGAATCTCCGCAAGTGTCCCGCGATCTACCGCCCGAATTATCGCCGTCGTGATCGTCGTCATGATCTCTAGGACGATGACGATCGTCGGAATCGCGTTGGTTACCGCGTGAAAGTCTTTTTTTCATGTGAAAAGCTAAGTCCTCGAAGTGATCGCGCTCGGCTTCGTGATAGGATCGTTTGTCAAGCCAAAAACCATGGTCGTTTGAGAGATATCGTGAATTACATAATTTGGATGTAGGTTGTTCCTGCATAAGAAACGCCGATGATACGTTCTTCTTTCGGTCAGGATTCAAAACTAAAATCTCATCCGCTATATAGAATTGTACTTTGGATTTCACGGGCTCGACCGAAACATCGAAGTTCTCTTGTTCAATGCTTGCGACGCGTTTCAATTTATCCTCATCTTCGAAGGAGTGTTGCACAGCTGAAGATAATTCATTGAGAGGTAATGAATGCTTTATGGTGACATTTATCAAGTCGTTTGAAAACTCTACCGGCATGTGAATATCATTAATTTGACAGGATTCACCTATTTTTTCATCAGATTTATTTGTTTCAATATTATCTGGTATTGATTTTACTTTTGTGACATCAGTGTTAACCGTGATATCGTACAATTCCGAAGTGTCATCTGATTTAGGATCGAGTGTTTTTATTTGAGGCAATTCGGTTTGTTCTATATCAACCATTGTCAAAGTGATGTTATAGCCAGATTCGGCTTCCTCGGGTTTAACAAACTTCTCTTTTTGATCAATATTTTGATCAATTTGTTCATTCTCCGTGATTTTTTCTGAATTTGCTGTTGGTTCTGTAGTATTATTATTTTCTAATAATTTTATTTGTTTTTCATATGTTTCCTGTTCACACTTGATTTCATCTTTTGTTTGTTTATTAGATGTTTCAAAGTTTTCTTCAAGTTTCGTCTCAATTAAAACATTTTCCTTCTCTTCTTTTGAATAATCGCAACTGGATTCTGTTTTCAACTCTGTCTCTTTTCCAGTTACATCAATCATTTTGCTTGTAGTCGATACATTTTCATCTATAATATCAGTAGTATCTTGTTTTGCACATTTTGACAAATCTTCTTGTTCCTGAAACTCTTGTTGATCTTCGAATTTAGCATCAAGCTTTTTCAAAGATTTGTGTTCATGTTCATCTCTTTTTTCGGATGGATATTTAATTTCAGCTATTTCTGTTTTTATAGATGATGTAAGTAATTCAGATTTCTTAATATTTTCTTGTTCGGTTGTTTCCGATGTAACAAAGGAATCGTTCTTATCAATTGTATCTTTCGAAAATTGTAAAATTTTAGTTGGTTCATTGTCTAATTTTTGACTTTTGACATCTTCTTTCTTGATCTGTGCAATATCTGATATTACATCCTTAGAGACATTTATAATCTCAGTCTTTTCTGCAGTAAATGAAGTTTCAGTTTCCGTGGAGTCAGCAGTAGATGTCTTTATAAAATCTTGAGACTTGGTTTTATTTTGCCGTTTCTCTTTCTTTACTTTAGCCTTATTTTTGTGTTTCTCTTTATCTTTTATGGGATTTACTTGTGAAAGTAATGCTTTATTTTCGATTACAATTTCGGATTTCTCTAAAGATTTGTCAATTGTTTCTATTTGTGCAGTCTGTATTTCAGTTATCGATTCATCATTTTTCTTTGCAGATGCTACATCCATTCTATCTTTTAATGGTGCAATATTTGCAACTTCTTCGGTTATTTCATCCGTTTTTTCGACTTTAACATCTTCAATAATGTTTGTTTTGCCAAGTGAATCAATAGATTTGTTTTGGGCTACATCTTCTTCCGTATCAAATTCTTTTCTTTCACTTGGTTCATTTTGCACTAAAGCTCTTGCTTTTTTTCTTTGTTTTCGTTTCTCCGCTCTTGTAAGTTTAGAAATTTCTTTCTGTTCCATTATTTTTTCCTCCGCTTGTTTTATGTATGATTGTTCACACATCTTTGTATTCTTTGGTTCGTCAACTGTCATATTCTGCTCAATGCTTTCTTGTTCTGTAGTTTTGTCACAAGTCATAGCCTGTTGCTCAATATTTTCTTGTTTGTTAGTCTCCTCTGCTGGAATTTCTTCATTCAAATTCGTTGACTTATTATATGTTATATCTGTAGTAACTGCTTCCTCGAGTTTTATTTTTATTTCGTCATCTAATTTTGGCTCCGTTAATAATTCCTTTTTCTCTTCTAAATCTTCAGCTATAATCGCTTCCTTGTTTATGTCGGAGACGCATACATTTTTAATCAACTGTTCAGTAGTGATTTTTACTTTTTTATTTTTCGATTTTTTCTTAGATTTCGTAGCACTACTTTGCTCTGTAATTGGAAATGCTTTTGCATTTTTACATTCATTGTCTTGCGCATTTGTATCTTGAAACTTATTAGATATTTCCATGTCATCTACTAATTTCTGCTCTTCTCTTGGTTTTTCGATATGTGTTAATTCTTTTTGCTCATTAACTTGAGTGTGTTGTTTTATTTGATCCTTGCTAGACTTGCTCTTCTCTGACTTACTTTTTCTGTCTTCAAATGTTTTGTCTTGTACAGGCTTTATTTCTTGAATAGTGGTACTCTCAGCATTCTGATCTTGATTTTCAGCAAGTAGTTTCTCACTTTCTTTCTTACGCTTATGCAAATCTTTTTGCTGCTTAACTGTATTTTTATTTTTAGATGCATTCATCTTTTTAGATGGTTTAGCGAGTTCTTGCACAACATCTTTTTTAATAATATTTGCCAATTCGTCGCTCTCCTCATCGATTATTTTTTGTTCATTATCATGTTTTTGTGTAGGCTCCTTATTCTTATCTTCAATCTTCTTCTCGGTTTTAATATTTTCAGATTCTACATTTGACGTTTTAATCTTCTTGTCCGAATCTGAAATTTCTACAACTGAGTGTCCGTCATTTCGTCTAGCACTTCGAGAACGCGATCTAGAACGTCTGGAGCGCAATTCTTTTCGTTTAACAAATTCCATGAAACCTTGTTCGTCTACTTGAATCAAATTCTCTATCGGCTTTTGTTCGAGGGTCTCCTCTACATAAATTTGGACCTGCGCCGAAGGCCGTTGTTCTGCAGTCTGTTCCTTATGAAGATTTTGCCCGAGACTAGGAACGCTATTAACTTCTGGCAATTCTATGGATTTTTTGCCAACTATTGCAGCCCATGTATTTGTTTCTACTTTCATACACGTTTCGTCATCTTTTAAACCAGTAAGATTAACACAAGTAGACGAAAGAGATGCTTCTTTCTCTATTTCTTCTACCCAAGGAATTGATACGTTTTGGGAAATAGGCTTTACTATACTCGTTTGTTGGTCAGGAGATTGATGCACCATTATTTTATCAACTTGTTTATCCTGCTCTAATAATTTTTCTGTATTTATATTTTCATGCATCTCGTCGGAAGTGGATATTTTTGCATTGTTCGCTTTATCATCAGGCTTTAAAAGAATAGGTTCAATTATACGTGTGTTAAGATCAGCGCATATTTCTTCTTGAGAAGTCTGGGGAGGAGTTCGTCGAGAAGAGGCTGCGACTTGCGCATAAGATTTATTGCCTTCTTTAAGCTGTTTCCTTGATTCAATAGATTTTTCCGCAATCGGTTTGATAATTTCATCTGTCGTTGTTGCTTTTAATTCCTCACTAACATCTTTACTTGTTTGTTTTTCTAATGGAGAGAAGTGGATATCTTGTTTTGATGAAATTTCGCATAAATTATGCACGACTGATGCTTGTGGTTGTTCTACAATATTCTTAGCATTATCTATTGCATCTTGACAACTAATAGTGGATGTTTGAGTATTCAAAGAATCGCCTTCCAAAACAGTTGTTTCTGTGGTACCAACGATGGTTGCCCACGATTTGACATTCGAATTTAATGAACTGTCGTATTTAGGCACATTATTCTCTGTTGATTCTTGTTGTTTTTGTACAATCGATGATGCTCCAAGTACATTCGATTCGATTTCCGTCGTTTTAGAAAGTACGTTATTGTGATTTTCCTTCGTGTTATCTTGGTGTTCTGACGTTGCTAATTTCTCCTTGAGTATAATTGCAGACTTTTCCACTTGCTTCTTAGATTTTTTACTAGATTTTGATTTATGTTCTTCGAATTTGGATAACGGTTTTTTGTGTGCTTCGTCAATAGTATCATGCACTTTTTGCTTCACTATAGATTCGTTTAAATCTTTCAATTTTGCATTATCTTTGGATGATTCAGACTGTTGTTCATCCGCTGTTAAAGATTTTTCTATATTAGGTTCAGTTATTTTCTTCAATGTTTCATGTTTTTCTAGATTACTTTGTGCTGGTGATAAACCGCTGTCAGTAGTATCTATTTTAATTTCGACGTCATTTTGTTTCTTAGATCCATCTTTAATCTTTGCATAATCTTTAGCTTTTGCATCTTTAATATGCTTTGATTCCTTTTTTCTCTTTGATTGGTTTTTCATTTTCTCGCTTTGCTTCTTGCTTTCCGTATACAAAATATTATTCTGAATATCTTCTATGGCAATATGATATTCATCTTTAACAGCAGTTTCTATCTGAGTTGCATTATCTAAGGTTTCAATTTGTTCTTTTTTCTTCTGAATTCTTTCTTCTCGTTCTTCAATTATCGTTTCTTTTTCAATCTTTTCTTCTTGTTTTTCGATCATTATTTCTTTCTTTTCAACATTTTCTTCTGGTTTTTCAATTTTTGCTTCTTTCTCAAACTCTTTTTCTCGTTTTTCAATAATTTGTTCTTTTTTCTCAATCTCTCCTTCAATCTTTTCTTCTTGTTTTTCAATAATTGGTTCTTCCTTCTCAATCTCTTCTTCTGTCTTTTTAATTTGATCATCGAGAGTGACATCAGTTACTGTTTGAGTTTCTGGAACGTCAAAATCGTCATCAAGTATTATTTCCTCTTCAAGAAGATCAATCCAAGCATCATCAGATTTCAGATTTATAGATGATACCACTATTGGTGTTGTTTTAATTTCTAATAATTCTTGTTCGGTTTTAATATTATCTTTCATAACAGCTTCTTCTATTTGTATATTTGTGTCTGTTATTGCTCCAGCATTTATCAATTGATTATCACTGATTTTTTCAACAGGTGATGCATTTAATTCTGTAATTTTGCTAATTTCTTGTAATGTTGAATCGATGCTAGTACCATTTAAATCTTCTGTTATATCAGTGACTGATATAGTATTAGCAGTTGTGTTAACTAATGTTATATTTGGTTGTCGAATTTCTTCGGCTGACACTGCATCTATTGGCATTTTCTTTTCAATAGTTTGTTCAATCTTTTCTACTGCAGAATTTCTTAAATCGGAGTCATCAGTTGATACAGATATAGATTTTTCAGAGATGGATTTATCTTTAATCCATTGTGACTCAATTTCGTAAAAACTGCTGATCGGATATTTTGATGTCTCTATGATAAGAGCATGTCTTCTGGAATTAATTTCAGATATTTCTCGGTTCTCAGATTTAGGTTTCATTACTGATTCTTGTACAATTCTTTCTATATTTTCTGATTTTGTTGGAATTACAGCAGCGGGTGATTGAACCTCTTTTATTATTTTAACTATTTTGAAATGGCGATAAAAATTACTTTCTGCGTTATTATAAGCGTGACGATCCATGGCATAAGGTTTAATAACATCTAAGAAATAATCAGGTATTATTTGCTTCTTTGTTTTTATATTTTCGGGTATATTCTCGCTTTTTATTTTACTAATGTTTATAACTGTTTGTTCATCTACTGCTTTTTCTTGGTTACTCTGAGTTTCGACATTGACTTTATTTTTTTCTACTTCATTTTCTTCTAATTCTTTGTTTTTCATATTTGCAATACATGATACGTCTTGATTAATTTTAGTAATTACCGTAGTATTATCTGTTTCGACAGAATTATTAATATTTTGACTTTTTATAATATTATCATTCTGTGAAATAATATCACCGGAGAATGTCTCTTCTTTTTTCATATTATCTGTCTCGCGTTCCTCTTCAGAAATTTTTATATCTGATTGACGGATATTTTCCTGTTCAATTGTGAATTCATTTAATAAAATTGATCCTTCCTGTCTTTCTATGTTATCATCTAAATGAGCAACAAGTTCTCCTTTTTTATCTTCAAGCGCAATGATCATCGGCGCGTCATGGAATTTTTCTGAAATGCCCGGGCAAACCTTCCTATCTTGCATACTATCGAACGGAGCTGATTCATCGGATGTCATTATGTTATCGGTGGAACTCGCGGAAATTAAACCTATTGTTTGGGAATTTATTGTCTGATCTGATTGTTCCGGACAACTACAAACGGGAATATCGTTCGGTACCCTAGCGTAAGTAGTGGTGAGACTAGCCTCTACGGTTTCAGGACGCAAAGTGATTAATTCGGTGACTTTTGAACCTACGATTTTGGGTAAGGGTATATTTTCTAAAATCTCCACCGATTTAACGGACTTGATATTGGCAGGTGTGATTTTTATCGATCCTGGAATACTCGTGCTGGTAGTGGTTACGGTAATAACCGTTTTCTCTATGATCAAAGCCTTTCCTGTTGATGGCAATTGTTCGGATTCTAAATTATTATTATGTATATTTTCCTTGTGTTGCTCATGTATTTTAGCCTCGTCGACCGAATCGCTCGAAACTTTAGAATCGAACTCAGCTTCAGTGTTTTTTAATAATTCTTGCGTCTCTTCGGTCTCAACATTATCAATTTTTGTAGGCGAAGATGGATTTTTGCCTAATTCTTCTTGTTTAGGACAAATTGCTGGCTCCGAAATCTCTTTTATAACTTCTGTAATCAAAGAGACTGCTTCTGATTTTTCAGTATCTTTGATAAACTCCATAGTTTTGTTATGTACATCTTCCTTTATTGATATAACTGGCTTGACGATTGCACTTACTGCAGTCTGATCCACATCTGTCAATTCAGATTTTTCTGTAGATTTTATATTAGGTGTTGATGCAGTAGATTGAATGACAGTTTTGCCCTTCGACTTGTTCTTTTTCTTACTCTTAGAAAGAGATGGCTCGCGTTTATTAACTTGGCAAGGCGTTGCATTTTCTCTTTCGTCTATTTTCAAATCAAAGTTATTTTCGGCATCCGTTTTTGATTGAATAAGACAACTGTTATCGGGTACTAATACATGCTCAGACACATTTGTTTTTTCTATAGATTGGACGAAATTTTCTATCGTAGATGCACTTGAAGGTTTTGATTCGGAATTAAGTTCGTCTTTTTTTCCAACAGATTTATTTTCGCTTTCAACAAGCCGTGGTGTTTTAATATCATCTTTGCTTATTTTATTTTTATCTTGAGTATTAAATTTCGTTTTTTGAGATTTCTTCTGTTTCCCCGTTTTCATTTGACATTTCTCTGTTTCGCGTTTCTCAGTTTTTTCAATCATTTTAATATGACTATTAATAGCTTTTTTCTCATCCATCGTATCTGCTGTCTCTGAATTTTCTCTCATAAGGTTTTCTGCTCCTAATTCAGCATTTGCATGACAATGTTCTAGTTTTTTATCCTCTGTCAATTCTTCAGCTTTATTTCGATCATAATTTGTTTCATCATTTTTACATATAATATTAGTTTGTATTATATCTTGTGTTTGCGGGACTGTATTAGGTGGCAATTCGATTTCTTTTGATTGAATTGTAAGATTATCGATTATTTCTATTATCTCTGCAATTTCAGCTTCGATTATCTGTTCTGATTTTGGAATATCAATTTCTTGATTTTTTGGTTTTTCGATTTCTGTATTATTCAAACTTATTTTAGTTTCATCTAGAACTTTGCTTGTCGGATTTACTGATAATGTATGATCGATTGCGACCTCAGATTTCATTTTGCTTTTAGAAGCTTTGTCTTTCTTTTTAGAATTAGTTTTACCTTTCGCGTTGCTATTTACTTTATCAAGTGCCGCGGTATCAAGTGCCTTTAATTTAGAATCTTTCTTTTCGGTATCAATTACTGGTTCAATAGATTCCAGACTTTTATCATCGATTATTTCTTTAGTATCATTCTCAAGTTTTTCTCGATTTTTATCATTACTCTCTGCATCCAGTTCTGATTTCTTCGACTTCGTTTTATTTTTCTCTTTTTTTGAAGCACCTTTCTGTTTTTTTGTGCTTTCAATTTTTATCGTATTTGATTTCTCGTTTTCCAACTCGATATTGTGAGCGACTGACAGTTTTACAGTTTCTGTTATATTGCTTTCATCGACAATATTCGTTTTATCATTTCTCTTATCACTTAGAGCATCGGATTGCTTTTGGACTTTATTCTCTGAAGATTTTTCGCTTTGTTCTTTGTTTTTTGTATTTTTGTCTGTTTTATTTTTATGTTTTGTTTTAATATCGCATTTGTCAGAATTATCAGATATATGGATATCGATTTGAGACTGGTCTTTTAACATTTCGTTGGAAATATCTTTCTGGACTTTCTCTTCGCCGTTAGAATTTAAAATTTTCACATCTTTTGTATTCTCTTTATCCGCGTTATCTTTCAAAATACATTGATCTCTTGCATTGATCTGATTTTGCAATGTAGCTTGTTCGAGCGGTGTGTTTTCTTTTATTTTCGTTATTTCTTTAGACTTTCTTGATTTAATGGATGTTTCGCCAAATTTTCTCCGTTTTTTGTCAACATCATCTTTACATTTTCCCAGCGTCTCGTTAGCAGAATTTTGAGATTTGTTTTGTTCTTCAATTTGCTCCTTAAATTTTTCTCTCTGAGATTTTACTTTATCCATATCCTCGATCTCTTTGAGAGCTTTGTCAATTTCGTCTCCTACAGATTTATCTACCTTTTTCTTCTTCTGCTTACGTTTCTTTTCTTGCAGCAGATTCATATCTTTAGAATCAGTTATTTGTTTTTCTCGTTGCACTGGTTTTTCTTCTCTTTTATTCTTTTCTGAACTATCACTGATGATATTAGATTCGTCTCGCGTTTCCAATTGTTTCGACGGGTTTAATTTTTCTTTTTTCTGTTTCTCGATTGGCTTATCAACAAGCTTTCGAGATTTTTTCTCATCTATTTGTTCAGTTTTATCACTCGATTGCCTCTTTTTGATCTCCCGTTTTTTTATCATGTCCCAGTCGTTCTTTTTAGATTGTTGAAATTGCTTGGATTTCGGAATCGAATCTTGCTCGCACTTCGGTTCCTGCAACGGCGATAATTCGCGGAACGATAGAGAGGATTGTTCCTTATTCTGTTGATCCTCGGTCGGCGATTTATTGATGATATGTGTTGAAGTAATGCGTGGGCTGAGTCCCTGTGAGAGTATTTGTGCGTAAGAAAAGATTTGCGCTTTGGATTCGATATTATTCAAAGATAACGTATCTTTTCCTTCTGTTTTGATAGAAATTTCCGAGGTATTTACAGACTCTTCCTGCTTAGACGTATCGATAGATTCAGTTATAATCGCGTCTTGAAGAATATCTTGTTTAGTTACTGGTACTTCAGTAGGTTTTTCTACCAACATCGGAATCTCGTTTCTCGTGTCGTTAACGGAACATTGTTGCTGCATCGGAGTTTGTTGATAAATATCTGGTGTTGGAAGATATGAAGTTTGCACTACATAGTGCTCTGGTGCGTAAGTCAAAGAGCTGTTATTATAAGGATTCAAGTTTGTAGTATCGAGTTGTTGCACTTGTTGATGACCGGAAGATGCATAAACATACGAACTCACCGGATACGTTCTGAGCTGAGACCCGATAAAACCTATTAACTTCGGCATCGGTTCCGGTACCATGTAATCGTACATCTCGGTTGACTGCACTGTCTCGGTGACTGGCTGTCTCTGCACGTTCTCATAAGGCTTGACGTGTTGCAGCATATCTTCCAAATCTTTGTCGGCCCAGTTACTCGGCCCGGATTCGGTATAGCTTTGCTCTTCTACTTTCATCGCGGAAATTTCAGGAGATTGACAGTGAGCCTCCGCGATTTGTACGTTTTCTACCTGCGTCTCTTGCGTTGGTGCGACTTGCGAAGCTTCGGTGATTTGTTGAGATTCGTCTACGTTTACGGTGAAGTTCACAGGGACTTGTTCCGTGCGAGGAGATTGAGTTCGACCACGCGAAGATCGTGAAGATTCTCCGGATAAAGGAACCATGTCTTGCCTGGATGGCTCCGCAAAAGAAGTGTTAGCCTGCGTCATTTGCATATTTCCGCGAAGAATATCAGCATAAGAAGTGGAACCGGGGACCCACATGGGACTGAGCGAACGTCCTTTTTGTTCTTCATGTGGTGCCAATGTGTTTCTTGTGGATTCTGCTCGCGCTTCTTGCCTGGGAGTCACTCTAAATCGACGATGGTTATATCTGTCGACTTCTTCCTCTTGAATCACCATCGCCTTCGGGTCTCTCGCATTAGACGAGTTCAACCTCCGCGTAGGCGATCGTCCTCGATGAGTTACGTGCGATTCAACAAGGACTTCGGATACATCTTGTTGATTCTCTTCCACTCCGATTGTAGCTTGATCGTCCACGGTCTGCACGCATTGTGCCTGCATTTTGGTTTGCGGTTGCGTCTTCGGTTTGTCCAGGTCACTTTCCTGAATTTGTGTTTTTGACACTTGTGCTTCATTTAATGGAAGACATTCTACAGTCGACTTCTGAACTCGTATAAGCGCAGGTCGTAATACTTGCGTGACCGTGGTAGAAGGAGTAACGTCTCGTTGTTGTCTGTACGGACTACAGTTTCTCGAACTCGGACTAGTACGTCCCGCTGCGATATCGGCATACGAGGCTTGACCGATGAGCCGGTATTCGTTTGAAGATACGTAGTACGGATCTACCGCGTATATCTGATCCAGCAGTGTTTTGCTGCGTTGCTTCCAATCTTCCATCCGTTCCTGCAGGCTCTGCTTTATCCGTTGCGGAAGGTCAGCCAAGGCACAACAATAGAATACATATACCATGTCAATTTCGAGGATTCTTTTTACATTTATCGTGGGATAGGGATAGCATTATTTTTAAAGCTAAGATTTATTTGAGCGAGTATCGAAAAATCTTTATCGAGTCTCTCAAGATACACAAGTCAACTGAATGGGTTTCGTGAATGAATGTACTCGAATATCGATTGGCAATAAACAGGACTTTTATTTTTCTTACTTAATATAATCTCGTTCAAAATCTCGTGGAGCGATAACTATTAGAAAAAATCAATGATCGATAAAAACTCTTACTTAGAAAAGTTGTGACACTAAAAACATAATCGCTTGAATTTTATCGAGGAACGCCGACGACGAAGACGAAAGTTTCATGTTATATTTTCGCTAGTTTGTTCTTGTCGTTAATATTGCCTTTGATCAAGTTTTAAATATGGAACTTGATACGCGGCTGCTATCGTCATCGTTATTCTTCGATTGACACGGTAGCAAATAAGGATGTTAAAAAACTTAAGATCAGACAAGCGATTTGATTCGTATAATTAATAATCAAAATTAACGACAATCAGAACCGGTTCAACGGCAATAGATCTTTATTATCATAGGTCCGAGGGTTCCATGTCCGGTGTCCCTCGTTGCACGAGTAGCTTAGATCTTTCAGTACGTGCCTGGATTTTACTTTGCAAGGATTTGATTTTCTCGCGGCAGATCTAATCGCGCATAGAATCGTAAACGCAAAATGAGAGTGTATAACACGTCGAACGAGCGAGAGAAAGGAAGTGAGGAACAGGAATGTTAAGGAAAAAGAGTATAGAGCGGAAAAAGTGACGATCAGAAATGATGAATAATGAGCAAAATGATGACGATCCCGGTAGCAGTCCCGAAGACGACGTAGACGATAATGATCGCAAGAGGGATAAAATACGATAATGACAAAGGTAGTGAAATAAAAGGATGTGATAGTGGCAGATAAAGTAGCACAGGCAACCGTTGGAAATAGCGAAGGTGTAAAGGAATAGGAAATATAGCAAAGAAAAATTTATAAATGAAATAATTGATAAAATGTGAGCAACAAAATAATAATAAACAGAATCTAATATAAATCGTAAGAAAAGAAGGCTTGGACATTCTGTCTGTGTGTCTTGCATGGTCTCGACACGTTTCTTGATATCGGAGGTCACTTGATTTTCATGTGACTCGTAAATGCTCTTTTCCATGTTAAATAAAGGTCCAAAAATTACATAAGGAATGTGTATATGTGAACGGTGCATGACACATTTTACGTGAATGTGCGATAATACTTCGCGTTTTACTACGGTCTTTCATCCTAAAAACGTAAGTGGCGTGTGTGCGTGATTGCTTATTTACGTTGATACACACGCGCGCGCACGTGCCTGTGTGTAGACACATATATACATGTGAGAGTGAACATATATGAAAATGTAGTGATGAATACGTGTATGATAAAGTAAACATGATAAATAAAATAATAAAAACCAGAAAAAAGAAACACAGAAAACAAGCAAAATCAAGTAATCTCCTTCAGAACAACAGTACAAGTTTAAGTAATTTTAGGAACTAAGGTACGTACGTCTGTGAAGTATTGTAGATTATGTGTATACGTAAAGGTGAGAAAGAAAAACGAAACGAGATAGTTAGAACATGATACCAACCAGCACCCCGTAAATAGTGTACCACCATGATGAACACGTAAAATCGAAAACTTTCAAGATTCAATTTCCAATTCGTTAATAAGTGACAAATATTATCATATAAAGGAGAGAGAAATAAACAATTTTTTAACCAATTTCCAATTTTCGCATTGTTTATTGTACAAAGCGTAGGATAGGCAAATTTAATAATAATTAGTAGATGATATAGTTATCTGTGATAGTAAGATATGATGTAGTTTAAAAAATTTTAAATTAGAAATTTGGGATTATATATTAGACTGGTAAATTATCTAAAGTTTAACACAAGTAGCAATAAAGAATTCGATTAACAAATGAAGTTCTCGATAAAATATTATTGATCTATTTAGTAACGCTTTATAAAGTTTTAATGCATGAGGGCACAAAAATAAGGTTTGCGCATAAAAGAAAAATGTAAGATGTGAAATGAAAGATGGGTACAATATACATATGGCCGGAAACATCTTCATACAAATTAATTATTTCAATAGTTACAACTATTTGATTATAATTTGATGAAAATGTTTCATTTAAGAAGATATTTCCGTTGGTAGTTGTTTATATATAGTTATTGGCCATTTCTTAATAGCATTTTGTACTGAAATCTAAGTTTCATTCAGTCTTTCTGACATAATAAAATAAAATGGCAAATAACTCGGAAATTTGTTCCAGGTTCTAGTTATACATATATGGTTAGTGGCTCGATCGACGGTTAGTTAAAAGTTACCGTGCATTCTGATTGTGCTCCATTGCTATTTTTAAATAAAAAAGAATTTGCCTAACCGCGCACGTGAAAACGAAGAAAATTATCTCCGACAATAGCGCGCACGATACAATAATTCAAAGAGTTCGTCATATAAAGGAACGCGTTTTTTCTTGGTGGTGGTTTTGAGTTGGTATCGAAAATGTCATTAAATGCCAAAATTAACTGCTGCTTCAGCGCACTTGTGCAAGTAATGGAAAGAAGATGCCTACCTGTTGTTCTTGGAAAGCCTTTTCTCGATCGTTCGTCATGTACGTCGGGCTGAGTACTGTTCTCAGCTGTTGCTCCACCTGCACGATACATTGTCTCAATTGTTGAATTTCCTGAAACGAAAACAATACGTTCTTTCGCTCGCGATACAGAGAAATAGATAATTGTGAATGATTCGTGGTCGAATAAAACCAAAATGCCGATTGGCACTTTTTCCATTCCGCTAACCTGTTGATATTGATCTATCTGTGCTAAACAGACTTCCAAAGAACTCGTTTGTTCTTTGACGGTATTGTGAAGGGCGTTGAGTTCGGCGATCAAATCATCAGCGGTGTTTCTGACTCGGTTATCACCGCCGATACCGGACCTAAAATGCACCTCGAGCTTCTCTACCGAGATTGTGATCTTCGTCTTTTGAATCGCAATGTCGCTAAGCATTTTCTCGCGGATTGCATGCTGATCGCGCAACGATTTCTTCTTGTTCTGCGGCGACTCCAGTGTCTGTTTGGCCTTCTCCATCCAATTTCGCGCATCCTTCATCTTCCTCTCACATTGCTCCCATTCTTCACTGGCCTCTTGCAGCAATGCATTCTGCAATACGGGGACTTTCAGTTTAACTAATTCAAATAGCAATTGTTTAGATATCAGTTCAAGAGAGTGCTATTCACTAACCCTTTCCAATAGCTGACCCTCGACCTGTACTTTGCCCTCTTCTGCCTCAGCCAACTTTTCCGGCAGATCGCCTACGCTAGTTACCTGACCGATATTTTCTAATTCTCTGCTCATATCGCTAAGATTTTTATTTACTTGCTTGCAGCTCTTGACCGCCGTCTATAAAATGAAGATAATGTCAGCTAAATACTGTCGCGTGAATCCTAAAGAGATGATTTACCACGTACCGAATATTCGTGCAGTCTTTGTCTGGATTGTACAAGAGTGCTGAGCTTAAGCGGCTCGACTAGAAACTGTTTCTTTTCCTCCGTCCATGCTTTAACGTCCTCATAAAGAGTGAGGAACCTCTGCCAGGCGTCTAGGGTGTCGCCCACAATTTGTTTCTTCTCCTCCAGCCAGCTTTTGACCTGCGCCAGCTGTTCGGAGAGATTGTTGATTGTGCTGTTGATCAGCTCTTTCTCAGCGTCATCCCTCGTGTTCTTAATGATAGTTTGCCCGTTTTTCGTCAGTCGTTCGAGCTTGTCGCTAATCGTGCCCAGCTCATTTTGTATCTGTCTGAGATGCTCCCTGAGGACGGCCGGTTCGATCGATCTGTTTTGTACTTTAAGTTCAGCCTGCTGGATCCATGCCTGCACCTCGTCCACGTCGGCCAAATAGTCCGATCTGGTGGTCCTGGCACGTTTCTGATCTCTCTGTTTTTCCTCCATCGCCTGTGCTGTTGCCTCGGCACAGAGTTCGAGTGCAGTCAGATGCTGGGTAATGTCGCTCGGTACCAGCTGCTGGCTAGCTTGGTACCGCGCCTTAATGCTTCCTGAGAACTTCTTCGCAGTGTCGATGAAGTCCTCGACTTGCGAATGCAAGTCGCCTAGTTCAGCCTCGATTGCGTCTTGATCAATGCCGTAAATGTACAAGCTCGAGGCGCTTTCGCGCGCCTCGTTTAATCGTTTCCGCAAGCGCTCGATCTCACGCTCGATGTTCTCGAGCGCTTCCAAATCTTCGCTCGCCTTTTTGGACTTGCCACGAAGCGAGCCAACGAGTCTGAAAGGACGATTCAGACAGTGACTTTTTATGAATGACGAAAAAGCCTCTCGCAGAGATTAAAGAAACAGCTCTTAAAAGTATTTTTATTATATAAGCGCATTGAATGCATATAATAATATAAATAAGTACAATTCGACGTTTAAAGAAAGATTTTTAAGATAGTTTTATTGTTTATATATATATATATATATATATATATATATATATATAAAATTATATGTTTTTTTTTGAGACTCTAAAATATTAATTCCTATA